AGCACCGACTTGAAGTTTTAATAACTCTTCGAAATTGTTTTTGATTGAAATTATTTTACAATTAGCATCGTATATTCCAATTTCCATTTTTTTCACGTTGCACAAGACGCATAAATCATCATTGTTACAGGATCTGCTGAAGCTAGGGCAGTCCGGGTAACGATACTGGTGATTTACGATGGTCCACAGTTTCAGCTTCGTCCAAGATATGATTTTTGGGGAAATTGTGAGTAAAATATTTTGTTTCGGCTTTCGTGTTCATGTATTTGAGTATTGCTTCCTTATTGGACACTTGGTGGACATAATGATCGTTTCAACATTATGTTATTGTTTTTGTTTTTCTTCTCCGTTGTCATAATAAAATTGCTCTTCGAATACAGGACAAATTGCTTTGAAATTTTCAGTGGTTAAAGATTGCTTTGCCAGAAGACTATCACTTTCACTTATTTTAAAAATTTCTGTGAACCTCAAGAGATTTCTTTTCTTATGTGTTGCAATAAAAAATAGCGACAACTTGTGGCGTTTCCATATATTTGAGCATAGCTCTCTTGTTTTTTATTATTATAATATGTAAGTATATCAAATCGAGGTCGTGAGCACTGAACTAAAATGACAAAATGAGCATGGACAGTGCACTAGCTAGCAGGCGTCTCTAACCAGAGACAATGCATAACAATGCGTTGTGACATTCATGCTCTGATGAGGTATAACTACGTTTATCTCTGTGGAAGGTATGCCAGCAAACATCACGGGCGTAATAAAAATAGAAAAAATTAAATATAAGCTTAGTGATTGTCGAGAGACTTAATTAACAACAAATTTAATCAGTACAATTGAAGTTTTGGGAACAAATTTTGGCTCTGAAATTTTGTTCACACCTATGCATAATCGGGAGTTTGATGGTGTCTATATTAGATTGACAGAAGGCATTTTTGAAGAAAATAGAAGTAGCACACATTTTTATTCTATATGATAAAAAAATATAACTGAAGACATCTGAAATGGAAAAGTGCTTGAACAAGAATTATACTAAGACGCACTAACCACGTATTTTACTTCGAAATATCAGTGTAATACATCGACAGACTGGTCTTGTAATTGTGAAAACAAAAAGAATGCTTATGTACGTTTCCATTTAAAATTTATTTAAAAAAAACCCGCATACAAAATTGAATCACGGTCTTGGATTAATTGGCATAAAAAGCGAAATGGCAAAGAAGAAGCATCAGTATAATATACCGTCTAATTACCTTTACAGTATTCGTCTAAGGTGGATCCGAATTACAAAAATTGCACTACATTCGCCATTTTCTACCCTCTCATTTTTTTTCATAATACGTCATCTCAGCCAACGTCGCCATTCAGCTTCTTCTTTGCCTTTTGTTAGGTAAAGTAAATGTTCTGTTTTAATTGCTCGGCGGTGTTTCGCGCTGAGCGTTAGGAATACGCTCGCTACCGCACCTGCGTGGGTTAGCTGGTTCGAATCCCGCGCGGGATGAGAATTACCGTGTTTCCTCGAAAATAAGACCTAGCCCGAGTTTTAAAGATAAGACCTAGTCGATAGTGCGAATTTGTTTTCCTGGCATAGTCGATGGCAAGGAATCTCTCCTATACGTTTCAATAAATAAATAAATGAAAATTTTAATAAAAACGTGTTATTAATAAGTAAATGGATATCGGTTGTTGTCATATTTTGTATATTCGAAAAATCTCGTAATTCTCCACTTTGTAATTTTGTTTTTGATAAATGATAATAAAAGACATTCCCCAAAATAAGCCCAAGTGTTATTTTTCGGAAGAAAGTTAAAATAAGACACTGTCTTATTTTCGGGGGAACACGGTATATGCGAGGCGAGGCGCCGCCGCAGGCTGGTTCAAATAACCGCTGGTCAGTTACGACTTTCTCAACCATCAAGTCCATGTATCTGAAACAAATACCTTGTTATTAACTAATCTCATACCCTACATGGACCGGTAACCGGACAAGTGACCGTGTTCCGCAAGATGTTTGAGCCGTCTAATCGGCTTTCATCTCCCCGGGATAAATATAGAAATGTACTGATATCGGCATTTATTTCGGTATTGGTATATGTTCGGTATCGGCTAATAATATGCTTCCGATTCTGCTGTTCAATGAGATCCAGAATGTTTTTAAAATGAGTTGGCATCCGAATGTTGATATCTGAAACAATTTTTTTTTGTGGAAGGACCATGTTCGCGGCCAACCTGCTGCACTGGAAACGGGTATTATAACGTCACAATATCTGATACTATGATGTTTTATCATCATTTGAACTTGTTTTTAGATTCCAATTATTATATACTAAATATAAATATAATCACTAACAACAGAATTTTATGAAATATATATATTAAGAAATATGACCTTATGTATACTGAAGTTTTCACACACTGTACACATATGTACACGGAATTTATTAAGAACGCCCTCAATTCTTACTCGTTTTGAGCTATTCCTCATCCAAACTACCTTCCCAATTAATTTATCTATTTTCGCTACTAAAATTGTGTTATTTAAATATTTGACAATAAGGAAGAAAAATATCAATCAAATATCACAGTGAATTTCCTCGTTGTGTGAAAATAAAATTTGACATAAAATTGTCACAAAATTCTGCGTACGCCACTATGGGTATTGGTTTAATAAAAGTGGTAAACATTTATCGAATATACCATTACGGTAGACAACTTGGTATGAGTTTAAAACACCGCTATTCCCAGCGCCCGTGCAAAACGAAACGTCTGCAGACACCTATATTAATATGTAAAAGAAGTGTCGAGTCCATATTTGCAAACGTGCAGATTTACAAGGCAATTTACGATGCAATTAATTAAAGTAAGCTATTTTGATATGCCTTCAGTAATGAGTCAAGTGACACTCCATTTATGCGTCTAAATATTTTTTATTTGTGTTTCAAGCTGAAACTCAAGAACATGCGTTAATTATTGTTACATATTATCGGTGATGTCGACACCTTGAAATTTATCTGGTCTTTTTCATAGTTTGCTTATCCCTTAAAACTATTTTGTTCTAGTATATCTGAACTTATACCTTTGTCTGGGGTAGACAAATAATTGTTTGAAAGCTGGTATCGTTTTAGCAACAATAATATACTTTTTTAAAATCAATCGCGAAAATATACGAGATAAATGTTGGGGTACAATTTATCGTGATAGGCACAGCAGATCTTGACGCAAGATACGATGAAGTGTGATGGAGAATTGTCCATCGATCCCATACCGCGACGATAATATACTGAAAAGCCAGTCAGCCAATCGTTTATTTGTCATCACCAACGACTACCGGTAAATAACTGCGCAGAAATTCATGCATCAAATAAATATACTGATACTCTTATTTGTGTGACCGGAGTCGAGAGGGTCCTCGAGATGTCTTCAAGCAGCGACACCTACATCGCTAGTACAGGTTGGTGTAAACTCTAAAGTCTAAGGAGTACAAATTTTGACTATGCAGTAGTTGTGATAGTGAACATATTCTCAGAAGAACAACCTGGTTATTGGAAATAAATAATAATGTCATTCCTAGTGAAACAATTTTTGCGAAACAAATAAAAAAATGAAAAGTAAGGGAGTCAAATTGACAAAATTAACATAAAAGATTTTAGAAGTAAGTTTTATATAATGATTAACACTTTTCTAATTTATCGGATATCCTCTAGACGCGACTGTTTGTATCGTGAACAACCACAATATCGTATTTTAATAATTTTACATTTGAATGAAATTTATTTAGACGCAGAAAATCATCACAGCAGACCGAAATTTTCTTCTCAAAAATCATGGATTTTATTGAAATTATTTCTTAGGTCGAAATTAGAAAAATGGGATAAAATCTTCTTATATCGGTATTAATTTTCATTTTTTGGGGTCCTAACCACAGTGTGACCTTTTTTGAAATATGAGTACATAGAATAGTTACAACACTAGGAGCGATAGCGAGGCTCGCCGAAAATTTTTCGCCCGCTTCCAGATTTATAGGCCGGCCTTACCTCAGGCTTCCGTGTTCGGCGGGATTTTGGCGCATTGGATTTAAATTCAAACGTGATGTCGGTATTATTGTATATATACATATATATTCAAACATAGCTTAAATATGTTAAAAGTTTTAGTTTGATCTATACTGGCAATGAGTTTTTAATGAGGTTTTTTAGTAAAAAAAAAATTTGTCACTGTGTTATTTTTGCAATATAATTGAAGTAGGCCCACAACATCACCATTTTTCGTCAGCGAGTGTTCTTTAATTCATATATCTGTATAGGATAAGCACATACACGTCTCACATTTTAATTTGAATTTATAAGATATTGCCCGATGTCACATCGTGTTTTTGTTTTATTGTGTTTTGCCTGTTTTGGGGGGACGGGCACGTACTTGTACGTATTTAACTCTTTTATTAAGTTATGTCCTCCAGGTCCTCTGTATTTTGTTTGTCCCTTTGTTGTTGTTTTGTGTTTTGTTTGTACCAGAGTGACCGAATAAAATTGATTGATTGATTGATTGATTGAGGTACTTGTAATGCCCGATTCTGCGATTCGAACTTGTGATTTTAACGTTCTGCAGGTCTGACGTTAGTAAAACATTGTCAGATTGGTTAGTCAGTTAGTGGATGTATAAAATCTGATAATAGGATACCTATACCGCAACAATCAGTTGTGGATTCCTGTGTTCGAAATACCTGAATACAGCACTTAAATAGCCTAGGATTTGTAATAGGCAGATAGGTGTCAATATTTGCTAATCATACAGTCGTATTGTTGTACTGTATCTAGTCAGGTAGGTATAAAAAATAGTCAGTTGTCTTAGGTACTAGCATAGAACAGTAGAATTACCATGGTCTAGCTCAGTAAAGAAGTAATAGTAGTAGAGTAGAAAAATCTGGATGTTGTGTTTAAAAAATATAGTAACTTAATTTTTTTTCAGGATTTTGTGTTTATTTAATTTGGATTAAAACATTGCTTTATTATTCTGAAGTTTTATATTGATTTAATGTAAGTTAAAAATAAATTACATATAACATCAACATTCAAAGGCAAAGAAAAAATGAACATATTTTAAAACAAATTGTTATTAGAAGTCTAATTCATTCATTGAAAACTGATTTTTTTGCTTGAAATCAATTTAATGGGAGTAATGGATTCAAGCATTGACATTGACACATTTCTTCGATCATTACGTGCTACCAAGCCACCATGGGAGTGTCCGAAATGTCAGAAGATTTATAAAAGTTACTCTGGAATGGAATATCATATGCTTAAATTTGATCATGATGCAGCTCCAATGACCCCAAGCCAGAAACCCACACCGTCAAATTCAAATCGAAAAGGACCTCGCTCAAAGTTTGCCATGAAAAAGAAAGGAGGACGAATGAGTGCTAATACACCTAGACGCTCTCCATCTCCTATTGGTTTTGCATCACCAGCCCGAGAGACTCTGACTTGGGCCGAAGCTCAAAGAATGGTTGAAGTTGAATCAGAAGGAAAAATTTATAGGTATATAATTTATGCTTTTGCTGCGCTGAATTCACTTTAAAACAAAATGAAAAATGTAATCTATATATTTTGTTTCAACTTCAATGGAGTAAGATTCCACAAATTGAAAACATTTTTATGTATTAGACTGATGATTTACCTACCTTGAGTCTAGATTAAAAACTAAGATGTCTAGAAAAGATTTTTTATCATGTATATTTTTTCTATTGCTTTTCGCTAGATTGGACATAAATGAAAAACTAGACGTCATCTCGGATTCTGATGTTGATAAAGATGATGACAGTAACAGCGGAAATTCATCAGACGGAAGTTTAGATACTCAAAATCAAGAAGACTCAAAGAAAAACATAACTAAAGAGGATGGAGGAAACAGTGGACCGGCAGGGAAGAATGGAAAAAGCAAAACGGGAGGGAAACCCGCGGTCAACAGCAAAGACTTGAAAAGTGTGACTCTCCCTATTCAACGAGATGGAAATTCAGCAGAATCAAAGCCAGTTGAACCAAAGCTTCCTGTACCATCGTTTCGCGTCGTCTCTGCGTATGGAACTGAAGCAGCTGATGCTCCAGAACGTCGTATGGCTTATTATCGATATATTGAAAGACCAGTTGAAGAATTGGCAGAGGAGGTAATTCATGTTTATTGTAATATCACCTTTATTATTGAAGAAAAGAAAGGCTAGATTTGAGCACGAGTGTGCAATAGGCGGCCCACTGCCCACAACCCGGCCCTTGTCAACACTCAAGATTTTCCCCAACCAGCATAAAATCCTATTCCGACAATTAATGTTTCAAAATGTGCTCACAGATAAAATATGTAAGCATTAGGCGCTCCTCTTCTCTTGCCTTTCCCCGCTAAATTTTTTGTCTGTAACAGTGTGACCCGACTAGATCTCTGAAGTTAGTTATATGGCCCACTGACGAAAAGTGTTACACACCACTGATATAAAGTATTTGTGACCATTCGAAATTTAACTATTCTCAAGAATCACTGGATGTGGTGCAGTTTGTTTGGTTGACCCGTATTTCATTATAACACGAATATTTATTCCTTGCTCCCGAATATTTATTCCTTGCTCCCGTGTCATAATATGGTTGATTGAATTCAGTGATGATAATATTGTTTGAAGCCCATCTATATTATGATAGTATGGTTTACTTTAATAATCTCCCCGACTCATTTTAATTCGGACTATTCTCTAATTTCTTTCAATTTTTGTTCATTCTAGGTTGAATATGATATGGATGAAGAAGACTCTGTTTGGCTAGAACTTTTGAATGAAAACCGAAAAAAAGAGTCATTGCAAATCGTTTCCGCTGATCAATTTGAACTTTTGATGGACAGATTTGAAAAAGAATCCTATTTTGAACAAGCAAAAAATGGGGATCATCATCGTGCACAACAAATGATTGACGAGGATGCCGTATGTTGTGTGTGTAATGACGGCGAATGTCAAAACTCAAATGTCATCTTATTTTGCGACATGTGCAATCTTGCAGTCCACCAGGAGTGCTATGGAGTCCCTTACATTCCTGAAGGACAATGGTTATGTAGGAGATGCTTGCAATCTCCGTCTTGCCCAGTTGATTGCTGCTTGTGCCCAAACAGAGGTGGAGCATTCAAACAGACCGATGATGGTAGATGGGCACATGTGGTTAGTAGTTAGAATAATCAAGAATTCAACATAATTCAAATTTTTTGTTTTTCAGATAAATGTTTAAACTTGGCACAATCATAAGTTTTACTGCACAGATGAATATGTGCATATATAATGTTAATTAACAATAACAAACTGCTCAAAACAGATTTTTGTATTGCCAAATTTTATTGATATGTAGTTCTTTTATAGCCAATTTATGGAATACTGTCCTAATATATGATTGATTCTCGATGCAGTGTTTGCACATGAATATAATATACATTCATAAGTAAAGTAACCTTGAAAAACCTCATTGCCAATTTGGATATTTTTTGGACCTTATATTTGATCTCAGGTCTGTGCACTTTGGGTTCCTGAGGTGACATTTGCCAACACTGTGTTCTTGGAACCTATCGACGGATTGAAAAGAATTCCAGCTGCAAGATGGAAACTTTCTTGTTATATTTGTAAACAGAGAAATTCTGGAGCTTGCATACAATGTCACAGAACAAATTGTTACACTGCATTTCATGTCACATGTGCTCAGCAGGTACTTTTCAAGGCTTTCGTGTGCTAGGAAAATTTTGTTCTTAATCACGTGGACTTTGTGAACTTTTTAATTTTTCTTTCCAATCATTACGCATATAATAATATAGAAAGTGGATGGTTAGTAAGTAGTAACCAGCTACTCTGGCATAACAATAGTCTAATTTTCAAACGATTTTCCAAGGTATCTTTCACACCACCACTTATGAGCAGACACTCCAATATAGTCCTCAGCGCTATGGAGTCAAGCCAGAGTTTGGCATTTTAATCAATAGTTTATTTTTATGGGAATAGGTAGTTTGATTGGAAGTTCCCAGCTGATGCAGCACAATGCCTGCAAGCTCAAGCGTTTTTATATAGTAAGAAACTGAAACGGGGGTTGATTTTTCGAATCCATGATTTGTGAGCTGGAGGCAGAACGGGAATTATAGTCAATTCTTACTGGACAAGTCAAGCGGAACATTTCTCAGAAATCACAGCCCTGTTATTGTTATATTGTTAATTACTATAGTCTGTGAAAACAGGGTCTTGAAAATTTCACTGATTTTATGGCCATGAATGAATTAACTTCATCATAAATCTGATATAGTTCGGGAGTTTTTCAACGTGCACGAATTTTTGCTTTTTTGCGTGACTTGTTCTTCGTCGTTTTACCTTTGACTATCGATTGCTTCCTCTATTTAGGCTGGTCTATATATGAAAATGGATCCAGTTCGGGAAACTGGAAAAAATGGAGTAACAGTCACAGTGCGAAAGGCAGCATTCTGCGATGTTCATCGGCCTGCGAATGCGACTCCTACTAAACCACTTCGAAATACATTCGAGTTTGAAGAAATGGATAAAGAGAGAGAAAAACAAGCTTTGTCTGATTCAAGAGAAAAAATGAAAAAGGCACGGAAGATTCTTGCGGAGAAGCGACAAGAGATGCCTCATATTGCCATTCCTTATATTCCAAGAGCTAAGTAAGTGAAGTTTTTCTATTCAGCCTACTATGATTTTTACTGAAGAAACATGTAGTTTTTGTGTATTAATAAAATATAGAAAGAGATCAGAACAAGCAGCGTGAACGTCAGTTCAATGCTTTCTGAATGTACGTAGATGCTGGGCCGTGGAGTCTGAGTTATGTATGTTTTCATTGTAGTCGGAGCTGGAGTTATTTTTTAAACTCCCCGGCGTCTGGAGTTTGAAAGGAACCCAGAAATTTTTAGGTTTATTAGGACATCTTAATGGTTTATTGAAAAACACTTGCATATGCCATCAAATTTTTTCGTATCAAAATTTGATTTTCTTGGAGTTCTGAACTGGAGTCAGAATCAGATTTTTTACAACGAGGAGTCAATCTAGAGCCAAGTCTGAATTTTTCATAAATCAACAACCTAGGGATGACAATTGACATTGATAAAACGCTTACTTGAACCACCCTATGACAGGAAGGAGTCCAGCAATCCTGTCGCACATATCTATCTCTCATGGGATTCGAACCTGCCAACTCGTGCTGGGTAATCAGAGGCGCAGCGGCAAACATATTCCTAACGCTGAGAACGAACGCCGAGCCTGATTAAAACTTGAAATCTTTATTATGTGATGCAAAGTCAATTACACACATTTACACAGGGTATTCTTTTCTCTTCAGAATGGCGTCTATTAGTAAAATTGTAACACTGCAGAAACGTGGAAGTTTTATGCAGAGATTGTTGAGTTATTGGACATTGAAGAGACAATCAAGGAATGGTGTACCTTTGTTAAGACGATTACAGTCGAACCTACAATCTCAAAAGAATCCAGATTCTGTAAGTATTAAATCCTAATAACGTTTTGTTCAGTTTACAGACTTTTTTATAAATATCTATGTTATATAGTAATATTGGAGTAAAAGCAGCACATTTCCTGTCCTTAGCATTAGTATGATTTTTTTTAAATATGTGAACGATAGTGACTTCATTAATTAATGGCTATTTTTTGACATTACATATCGAATCCATAAAATTTTTGATCATTCACAAAATTTATCTCTTGAGCATTTCTGTTTATAATACAGTGCACTGGTACACCTGAACAAAATGAACTTTTGAAGCAACTCAAGTATTGGCAGAGATTACGACATGATCTTGAACGAGCAAGACTTCTGATTGAACTTATAAGAAAACGAGAGAAATTAAAAAGAGAGCAAATCAAAATAAGTCAGGTACACGATATCAAACTCTTTTCATCTTATTTTGAAATTTCGACAGAATATCTGTTTTTATCCCCTACTATGATATCAAAAACAATTTCAATATACTCTAGTTTGTGTAGGTAATGTAATTCACTTGATTTTGGGAATAAAACAGTCCTAATTTTATTATAAATTTTTTAAATACTATTAGCCAAAATTAGTAATTGGTATTGACAGAGACCTTATTTTTAATACTTAAATACTATATTTTTTTTGTGTCTTTCTGTTATTTAATTGGAGAGGCCACAAACTTCGTAAGGACTGAAGTTTTTGTGTTCATTGTCAACCCAATATATTACACCCTGAGAGAAGATGTTGGCATGGGATTTGGACTCACGCTTTTTAAACCATAATGCAATGTTAAGGTTGACCAACGCTCTAACCACTGAGCCATCGTTTCCACATATCTTTCTTATCAAAGCTTATTTTACTACTTTTTTCTTCCAGGCTGTCTCTGATCTTCAATTGTCACCCTGGCTTAATCATTTGCATCACACTTTGGATCGCCTCAGAACATTAGACACAGCAAATGTGTTCGCTTTACCAGTAAATGTGAGAGATGCACCAGAATATGACAAAATTATTAAACATCCGATGGATTTCTCAACCATGGAGAAAAAAATCGATGGATTCAAGTATAAGTATGTTTTTTGCAATTTCAACTTCAAAAGTAATTAAAAGATTTATAACTGCAATTATTCAGGCAATTTGGACCAAAATATTTCTGATATGGTGTTCCCAATTTCCACCCTTTATTCCACCTTGCGAGAGATGATGGATGTGAGATTGGAACCTGAGATATTTAATCTGCATATTAACACAGTTTGCTTTAACTTTGGCAAAGTTTGTTGTTTATTTGTTGATTCAATTAAGGAGTGAATATCACCCCAAATACCGTCCTATTAACTAATGGCATTCATGTTATTACACATTTAATTTCCAGGTCTATGGATGACTTTGAGACTGATGTCAATTTGATTGTCAACAACTGCATGCTGTATAACACAAGAGATACAATATTCTTCAGACTTGCACTTAAACTACGAGATCAGGCAAGGATTTTCAATAGTGATACATTGATACCTCGGTAGTCGAACATAATTAGTTCGGGATGGGTGTTCGACTACCTATTTGTCCGAATACCGAAACGCATTCTAAAATACTCAAAATGTGTACAAAATTTTGTATCCGTTACTGTTCGTTTGAGCAAATTTCTGTTGGTTCTATGGGATTAGTCTTCTGTGTGCAATGACGTAATCGAAATTGCACATCTTGTAGCATTTTCGCTTACGCGATAGTCGTGAAGATTTCCGTTCCGGTAGTCTACTGTGACAAATTGCATACCCGTACGGCCGTACTACTTCATTTTAGCCTTTGTGTCAAAATATTTGAGTATCGCTCACTTGTTGATTGGTCAAGAGGCAGCCTAGATGCGTGGTTCGGGTGACTTCATCTCACTCTGTGCCGTGCCGCGCTCGATTGTTCGAGCATCAAATTTCCGTTCGAGTACTGTAGCATTTTCTACTACTGTATTCTCGATATCAACTCGTTTGACTACCAAGGTATCACTGTATTGATTTTTCCAACCCTTGCATAATCAGAGGATCAGTAAAGCAGTTGATGCAGAAATGTCTAAATCAGAAGGGTTTTGTTTTTAATATTTTTGCATTGCAATTAATTCCTGATCGCATTGACTTGAATTTCTGCAAATCGGCTTATGAAAATATGCACCATCATAAATCTTTTTGTAACATAGGGAGGCACTGTCATCAGAAATGCAAAAAGAGACTCAGATAAAATTGGATTTGATCCAGAAACAGGATTTTTACTCAATGAAGCTCCTCAAGTCAACGAGGAATCGCCTGGTAAAATATTGACAGAAAGTAAGTTTAAATTGCTGTGTTTTATTTGTACATGACTTACATATATTTGCAATATTTTTATTATAAAAGTGTTCGTAAAAACAAATATACTACCTGAAAAATAATTTAGCGGTATTAGAAATTATGTGAAATGCAACAACCGAGAGTGGGGTTTGTGTTTATAATCGACACTATATTTCCTGCTGTATCAAAATAACAAAGGCACTTTTGTTAGCTGGGGCTGCTCATTTGTGAAAAGATTTACACACTCCTTGCCATCGAAGGCAGGTTGGGTAACAAATGTTAAACCTAATCAAAGAAATAAGAACTTCCAATTGGTTATTTATTTTCATACTAAACCAGGCCCGAAGGAAAACTTGTGGTTTTATTAGTTTGTCCTTTTTTTTTGCTTTTTAATTACTCTAGTCTATCTTGACGTTTGCCAGACTCTTTGTTTAGCATGATGTTCATGTATTTGTTATATCTCTCCTATCCACTGTGCCTATGCAGCTGTAACTTAAAAACTAGTTATATATTCGTGTATCAAACTTGTGCAGATTAACAGCCAAGAGATACAGTATCATTGACATTGACATCTCCCCTAAACCTGGCATCCCATCCTAACATTGATAGGTCGTTTTGAATATTATATTTGATAGTTTAATCATGCAATAATAATCTTAGGACATGAAAAAGAAATGTTGGAAGAAGGTATGACTTATAGCATCGCTGCTTGTTGTGTTTTTTCACAATTTATCTGGCAGATTAGGCGATAAAATTGCATATTGCTTGCCTCAGCAATTGCATATTAAGCTTTTGGTGTTATTTACCCTCATAGCTGTCGGGAAGAGTCATTTTATGCAACTCAAATTATTTGAATATTTTTGTACTGCGTACTGGCATCGGACCATGTCTGATTAGTTTTTGCTTTCAGAATGCTGTTTGTAATTCATTCCTATTTGAATTATCCTAAATATCCTGCGTAGAGTATACTACATATATGTATAAAAAATGATACTAAGATCATGATATCGCAACAAAAAGAGTAAATTGTGTGAGGACGTAAAAAAGCATCATTTCTGATATCCCGTTTTGCAATAAATTTTTAGGGCTTTTTCTGTTGCAATCAACTTTTCAAATTTTTGATTCACTATGAATAATAAGTAGTCAATTTTAGTGGATATTAAATGTAATTTCAAATCCACAATCAAGATTTGCTATTTTCTCAATTTATTCATCGCTGCATGTTTTATACATACAAGACAAGCTATAATACTACTAGTAACATGATGAACAGCTAAGAGCTAACATATAAAAATGTGCCATATTCATTATTAACAAATGAATATGTGATGCTATTGCATGTACACTTTGTATATCAAAGTTGGTGTAAAGCAAAATATTATAAATAATCTGGTGAATCCTTTATCTTGCATAGTCATGCCTAAAACTATCCAGAATGTGGCTTCAAACAGTATAGTCATATGATTATGATGTATCATATTACTTTTCCATTCTGTGGCAGAGGAAGGCCAATATGGCAATTTCATTATATAATAAACTATCTCTTCTTGTTTGATTACTATACCAGATTGGGCAATAGAAAACCATTAAATAAAGTCATTCCATTGCATGAACTTTGGATTGTAGAAGAATGAACCTGCATATGCTGGTGGAGGGACCGGCAATGCTCTTGCACATAATTATTTCTCATACGATTATAAGCTGTCAACGCAATCAGAGTTTTATTTACCATTCAGAATGGCAAGCAGAATCGTTATTCTTAGTATTATGAAATACATCTCAAGCTTTAGAAAATAATCTTGCTTGACTTCTGTTTAGTACTAATTCATTCTGATATCTGTCGCATAAAATATTTTTTGTCGATCATTACTGTGATTCTGGAATGATATTGAATAAAAAGTCAATAAAGTATATGGTGAACCATGGTCTTTCATTCGGTTCCAAATCCAGGTCTGGTATTAGCTTACCGGGCCTAGTAATCCTTGCACATTTGAACATCCTTTGTAGAACATGGAAATTTAAAGGGGTGATCATCGGTACTAATGCATGACGTGGTGTGCAAACAATCAAGCCCTAACAGTTCTGATGGGAATTTGTTCAATGCAAGCATTCTCATATTTGATCTTACCCTGGAGTGTAAAATGGATCTCTGTGTCGCATCAAAATAGTTATATTTTTTTAAATTTGTTTGCATATCTTGGAAAGATGTTTTCATTATATTTATGATGCTTTCAGGTTACGCGACATTTATATCATTTGTGCTTTACTATTTCAGTTGACAGACTAATTGATGGTCATGATCGAACTGATCTATCATATGAAGACCAACTTAAAAACTTATTCGACAAACTTGATTTTACAATGACCTTGAAAAATGGAGTCGGAAAAGCTTACAAAGCGAAAAAACTTCGAGCACAAATTTTGAAGTTGAGAAGGTTAAATTTTTGCCCTTTATTTAGTTTCACTATTTATATCAAACTTACATTGTGAAGTCTTTATTTACATGTGGTCTGATGATTTATTATCTTAGATACGATGCTGATTGAGTGATAATCCTATTATAGATAATGTTCAGTCCTATGTTTTCTTGATTTATCAGTATGTCTATCTGTTGCTTATCTCAGAACTATATTGCACTTTTTGTCATTTACATGTTGTTTGGTGATTTTATGTCTTGATGGACGATATAGTATTATTGTCTTGGTTTTTACTCATTGTATCTGTTCTTACAATTACCAATTTGTCTCCGTGGATAATAAAACACATTCCTGAATATTCTAGCACTGCAGTATAATATTAAGATTTGTCAAATCATCATCGTCACTGGTGATACAAATTTCTTATATTTAAAGGATTAATAATCGCACAGATTTAGTGTTGACGAAGAGAAATATTTCTCTGCCTTCCCCTACACGCTTTGGCATTTCGTATCCATATATATCCATACCATACCATATATACGGTAAGATATCGTGCATTAGGTTTTATATATATTATATTATATCTTGGAACGGCCTTACTCAATATCGCATTCAATTTTTTCCAGGAGAATGTCTCAAGCAAAAAAGAATGCAGAAGAAGCTGGTAGTTCACCTGATAAACCATCTACAGCTGAAAAAGTTACAGATGTCAAATCTGAAAATGAAAGATTGTCAGACCACTCCAAATCATTTAACAAACCAGGGAGGAGAAAAAGTACAAGTGGACAAAACAAAAAAGAGAAAGAAAACAGTCATTCTCCCAACCTTTCACCAAGTTTTTCAAGATCCATGAGCTCGCCGGATGGGCCCAAAAAGAATCCGCGTTTCAGAAAGAGAAGGTGGTCTAATCTTTCCGAAAATATGAGCGAAAATGACTCAAAGCGTCCGCGCCGCAGGTCGGTGGACGCTTTTGCTCTGCCACACAAAGGTATTAAACGCAGTGCGAGTACAATGGTAGAGTCTTCAATCGTGGATGACGTTGGTGTAGATTCCGCTAACGAATTCAGACCAGAAAGTGTTAACCGCCGTTCGGCCGTACTTTTCAATAAAAAACGCAAACGAAACTCTAATCCAGTATCGCGACAAAACTCTGATGAAAACACTAAAAGTTCAAACTATGAAAAAGAAGACAGCAGCAGGCCTTTGTCTGATTCAGCAGTTGTTAGTCGGCCCTTGCCAAATTCTTGCCGAAACTCTCGTAGGTCTCCGAGTCCTGAGGTAATGCCACTTCGAAAGACAAGATCAAGTGATTCCTGTAATTCAAATGCCAGTTCAGATTCTGGAGAGAAAATTACCAGATCTAGGAGAAAGTCACTAACAAATGGTTTCTTGCCAAGTCCTGGTGAATATTACGATTTACTTGCATTTTTTAGTTATTGCAGATGATTTTTTTACATTGGAAGCTCACTCGAATGGCTTTTGCTGTAAGAAGCATATGACCATAATTTCATACATATGAATTAGTAATATAAAATGTGTTATATATGCCCGAAGAAGTATTCTCACATACCTCAATGTAAACTAGTCTTCCACTCAAAGTACAGCAATTTATATTGTTATACAGAACCAAATACCTCTATAAATTGTTTATCATGTTATTAGGGAGAAAAGGTAGCAAACCTGAAAGTTTTCTAGTTTATCGAGAAGAATCAAGACGCCAACGCACAAGTTCAGACACTGATACAACTTCGTCCAGTAGCAGTAACGATAACAGGTTTGTGTGTTTTGCTGTATTACATTTTCGACAATACACGACAAGTTGATCAAACGAAAAAAACAGTACAAACTATCTGTAACAATTCGTCTTGATTTGAATTGGGTGGAAAGTAACAACAGTACCTTTATATATAGGTAATAATAAGATGATACTGTATACTGTATAAATTCCTGATGATATGTATAAACAAAAAAGTACAAAAATTTGGAATTGCTGACCTACTGATTAAAGCGCTACCCTTAAACATGATAGTATCACAGATTGCACATCACAAATTCAATCTTCATGCCCCAAACCTCAAACAGAGTGTAATTAATTGGGTTGGCAATGCCTGGACCAGCAAGGTCCTTCCAAATAATAATTGTTTACATATTACTCTTTACATATCGTTATCGTGGCCGCTTGTATATTGCCTTGTTTGCAGCGAAAGACGCATTATATAAAAATATCAATTTTTATTATCTACTTATACATTAGAAGAAAATCTAAGAAAAGATCATCCATCACCAGCGCTAAATTAATCTCTCGTCGATCATCTTGCTCTGTTATGGAAAATAGAAGAAGAATGAATCGACGTAGCAATAGTCCTTCTTCCAATGGTGACTCTGACGATACAGACAAAATGAAACCTTCTGGTAAGTGGAAATGTACAATTTGGGGATTGATAATTTATTGCAAAACGCACCATCTCTCTCTCCAAACTTATTTCTACTGAACCTGATATGGGAAATAATAGAAACTTTAGAGTGATGTTGTTGTACCATTATGAATATCAATTCCATGACATACTTGGTTAATTACCATCAGTGAGTACAAAAAACTAAAGGTCATTATTAAAATGCTCTTTTCGTATGCTTGAAATTACAATGCTCTCAAAATTTAAAATTATACTATGTTGTGACAACAATCTAACTTTGTTTTCCTTCATGATTGATTTCAAAATAAATTTCTGCATTTTACGTCAAACATTATAGTAAATCCATTCAGAGTATTGAAAATTAAATTGAATTGCATCTCAAACTATTCCAATTATCGGAATAGTACTTCTCGTCTTTCAAAATTATTTCATTAATTCAATTATGCAGTGGTCCGCAAACGAAGACGTACAACAGGAAGTTCATCGACAGAGGAAGAACAAGCATCTGATTCATGCAATCTCGAAGCTCTTGATTTAGTTTGGGCTAAATGCAGAGGTTACCCTTCTTATCCTGCATTGGTAAGTCTGTATTTAATTAAGTAAGATGCCAAATTAAGCCTGGGTGCTAGGTTGATGCAGATGTACATTTATCCGTGCCAGAGTATTTAATGTGATATAAAACATTTTTCGACGCTCCGGAAGTGTGTGTACCAATATGGAGGTAACTAATTTTGTTCGCCTACTTTACATCAAGTTGTGTGAAGGGACTGATATCTATGGACAAGGGGTATATTCACTTGGCTAACACAGATAGTCCCCGAACACGTAATAAAACTAAAATAAAGAAAATCTGAATAGAATTATGGCCTAACCCTAACCTGGAACACACACTACGGGAGTACCTATAATTTTCATTGACAGGCCTGCACTTGGCTTACACTTTATCTTGATATATAAAGAAAGAGGTTGGATACACTGAATATTGTCTGAAAGTTTTATCTTCCATATGCTGGTTTATTGAGTGTCTGTATAATTCGATTGTATCAAAATGCTTATCAATATTCAACAAGCCATTTTTGTTGATCTAATTTTGAAATTAGTTGATTCTTGGAGGGTATTTATTTCCATTCAAAAATTATTTTTGCCAGATTATTGATCCAAATATGCCAAGGAACGGTTATTTTCACAATGGGGTACCTATTCCTGTCCCTCCATTTGATGTCCTAAAAGTTGGTGAATCAAAATTGGAGTCCAATCATAAACACAATCATCTTTATCTTGTCTTGTTTTTTGACAACAAAAGAACATGGTATGTTGAAATTATTTATAAGTAAGAATAAGTGAATGTAAACATCAATATTCTCATTGAAATTAAATTTTGACTCAAATTTTATTGTCTGTATAATTTTTTACGAACGATTTAAATCAGAAATATTCAAATTTTTTTATGCTTTTTGACAGTTTAAAAATTTAATAATTCAAAGCAAGTTCACAAGAAATCACTTTAATTATTTTATTAAACATAAAATCCAGAGCATTTATTGGTCGATGCTTCGCTTCAAGGAATGTAGACCATCTCTTACCATCATTATTCTATAACTGACCTGGCAAACTACGGCCCGCGGGCCAAATCCGGCGTTCTGGCTAATTCAATCCATCGCGTTGATGTTGCCACAACCAAACTAAAACCAAATTTTGATGTTTTAGCTGAAAAACAGCACAAGAAATTTGTTAAGATTGCGATTAAATTTAGTTTTGGCACGAGGCTTATTGTTTTCCACTTTTGCTTTTGTAGCACTGTAAATATTGTTCATAAAATATAACTTTTTATGTCACACTTGCACGGCCCGCCAGTATATGGTGGGCAAAATGTTTGGCCCCTGGTCCAAAAACCTTGCCCACCACTGTTCCATAATGAATATTTTTTACCTTGTCAAAAACTAACTTCAAATTGACAACACAGGCAATGGTTACCAGCATCGAAACTCAAACCACTCGGCCTTGATGAAAAATCTGACAGGTTGAAATTGTACGAAGGAAAACGTCCTGGTATAAGACGCAGCGTAACGCAGGCTTATCAACGCGCAATCATTCACAGAAGAAAAGTATCAGGAGAAATTCCTGACAGCGATGATGAAATTCATGATGACGGCAACTTTGCTGAAGAAGAAGATAGCAGTGATTCCGTAAATTAAATTGATTTTCATCTATCGTATGATAAATTTGAAACACTGCTTCTATCACGCAATTGCTATATAAGAATACTACACTACTACTATTTCAAGGGTAACTGCTTTCATTATTTGCATCATTAGTTCGCAAGGATTAAATTCTATCTAGTAAGCAGCAACTTGGATTGACCAGAACAAGTCAAATATACTTACATATACTTGTATTGTATTGTTTGTCTTGATGTGTCTTTGTAATGTGGTCACCGTACTTCGCAACCTAAGATAAATTTTGAGTTGTTTTTGAAGTTGTATTTTGCCTTGTACAGGTAAATCCCCAGGAATTTATCGAGTCATGCCCACTTTACACCCATTAATCAAAATATATCTAGTATGATTGAATTTTTAATATAAAATTATCAACTTTGAGCAAGCACATTTTGCTTGAATTAGTACCGGTAGCTGGAATGTTGTAAAGTAAACCGAAAGTTTTACTTAAATTGGAACGTGTGCTGCCAAATCTTGATTATATAAAATGTAGTGAATTTAAATTGCATTGCAAAAGATTAGTATTATTTGTATTTGTTTAATATTATAAATTTTATTACGAAAAATAAATGTGTAGCTAGTTGAAATAACCAGTTAGTTGAATAGTTTCTATTCTAGAATACTTACTGGCTTGCAATCAATATAGATGTCAAATATTCACAGTGGATTTCTTCATCCACAAAACCAAATTTTACTCTTTACACAAGTCATGATTGCTTTACTGAAATAGACATTTAATAGTAATGCAGCAATTTTGATTATATGAAGTCGTTTAAAACAACTATTTCAAGTGGCAAATGTTATTAGTTGAAGCTGCTAGTGTTATGATCTGGTGATACAAAATTTTGCCTTGTAGCAGGTAGAAGATGTAGATAATAGTTATTTGTATCTACAATGATTGACTTTAAGTTGCACAATATGTTTGATAAATTTTTTATTCTTTCCTGTTGATACATTTATATTTTAGTTCTTTTCCATGATTTTTGTATTTATGTGTCATTTTAAATATGGTAAATGCCATATTTTTTCAGAATATAGGATGAATTTCAAAGTTTGACACGAATAATATCAACATGTAATGTGTTAAAATATAAGGAAAAAGAAAAATTTAAATGCATTCATTTCCTTTTCCATAGGAAACCCCTTTTTCACTTATGAAAGATTTCATAGGCATTTTTTTTGAAATTATGTAGTTCTTCCCTATTATTATCTCGGTATTAATATTCTATATTAAACTCCCCATTCAAGATTATATCTCGAAGATGTATTTACAAGGTAATTTCTATATGAATTTATACATGGATTTAAGTTCACAATGCCTAATTTGCCTTCATTATAGTAATAGTGCCTGTTCTGTTGCTCAGTGGTCAAGTTCCCCCGTATGCCTGTTATTTGTATATACTATTTATTTTGCTTTTTGTCATTCCAATTGCTATTTATTGAACAGTTTTAATGCTGTTTAACACATCTGGGGCTGGGGAAGAAGATATAATCCTAGTCAGTTTGAATGGCTGCCCCGAGAATGATAATCAGTGAAGGAGTTTTAATTAACGCCTGTCTAACAACTCAAATTATCATGGATTTGAGAACTTGGTCGACAAAGTTGTTTTATCACAAAGTCCGAGACATATTTAGAAGCTATTTACGTAGCTTGGATTCTGCATACTTCGTTTTCGTATCACACAACGCGTTTTCCCTGTACAATATCGGCATAAATTTTTTATTCTTGTATCAACTCTATACTATTGATATTGAGTTTTGTGATGTGGCACACTATGTATATTTTCTAGATGTACTTACATATGAAATTCAGGAACGTATTTGTATGTTGTTATCGCTGTCGTGTTGTCCCATTTATTTGTTGTTTATTCATCACAAACACATTTTTCGTAAAATAAATTTATGCAAAATTGCGAACAGAGTTGGTTTTAATGCAGAGAATTGGAATTATCAAGCTCAGTATAAGTATTTCTTCAGGGTGGTTTTAATTTCCACAAATGTGTGATTATTGTCAGATCAGGTTCAGCTAATTGTGGAATTGTTTAGGCCTGATTCTCCACGAATTTAGATTATCCCTGCACAGATTCACTCAATCAAAGGCAACAATGGAGGCTGTTCTCGCAGAGACGACCATGGACTGAGATTATAATTGATATCACAGGTTAGTGGTGTTGTAGATTCTCAGACATGGCTTTGACAGAAGATTGACAAAAATAAACCCAACTTTGGTGATACACACAGATACACATCACTGTTGGCCAGAGGACTAATTTTCATGAGTTGGAACGAATGCGGATTGAAATCTGCTTCGAAGGCTAAGAAAGCTCCGTCTAAGTTGCAGTAACTGAATTATTTTACCAGCATCGCCATCAATAATCTGCATCTACAGTTGAAAACACCAGTCTTGACTTACTATTAGCAGTTTATTATCAAATATAAAGTAACGTACTTTATTATATCAGCTATTGCACAGAAATGCAGCTACAGGCTAGCTATAATGATAAATCTTGAATAAAACCCAATATGATTACAGATCGTGGGGTCGAGGCCACAGTTACATATCACACACAGGTAACTTTATTGCTGAGATTTGAGAATGATGGCCGTGTGGTTAACTAATAATTTTTTTTTGTAAAAACCAATCTAGGGAATTAAGGTCTTTTCTTTGCCCTCAACACCAAATAAAAGAGAAAAAATCTCATGACTGTCATGTTTTTTAAGAAAAGCAGCAAATTGTCCAAGATCCATGTGATAATCTCTTCCACCATGAACCCCAAAGTCTTTCTCCGTAACAACATCTGGAAACTTCCTCTGAAAGCTAGAAGATGCAGAGTCAATACTTAACACTCCATCTTCTTTATGTGCCAGACTTAACCTCTTCCAAGTTTGTCGTTTCATTCTGTAAAAAAGAAACATTTTCACTTTTTCACATTTACCTTACTCTTGGCAACATTTAGATTCAAGTATATTCTATCACCCTTCACATACTATCAATAATAACATAGTTGTTTCATGTTTGTCAAAGATTATGCCAAATAGCACAGTAACCATACTCCATCTATCATAACATATCGTTTAAAACGTTCAAAACATCATTAACTTTGAAAAATGCTCTCCATTAAATTCGATGGGAAAATTTTTATGCAAGAGAATTGTTGAACTCACTAAACAAATAATTAATTTGGCCATTCTCAAACCTGGTAACCATGGTTTGCCATATGGATGGAAATAAGCTTCTTATCTTTTCCCCTCTCCCCCAGGCAAAATCCTAACCTATATTATTGTGCTGGATGAATATGATGAAGAACTCAAGTTGGAAGTGTAGCTGGACTTAGTTTAATCTCCATATGCTAAAATGAACTTTAATTACCTTTCACTTTTCTGGCAACCTTCCTTCTACTCCAAATAAATGAACAAATGCATTTCCACAGCCATGATCATTAATATACTGAAACAATGCCCCCATATTCATATGATTTCCTCTGTTTCCATGAACTTCAAAACTGACTTCCATCATTTCCTTGAACTTTCTGTTGCAACTATTCATCTCATCGCCATCCTCTCTGTGTCGCACTTCAATATGCTTCCAGTTTAACCTCCTTATCCTGATGAAATAAATATCATTCTCACTAAAATATTCTTTACTTATAGCCTATTCAGTAATCTTCCCCAAGATAAAGTAGCATATGCTGAAATTCATATTTTGCATTTAGGCTGATATTTGAAGTTCACTCCTTTTGCTAACAGACAATGTTTGTTTGGGGATATTTGCTACAGAGGAGAAATTTAGAGCATTCATTTTTTAGCAGGATATCACATTTATACTATTAGGAGGGGAAGACAAGATGGCCTAATGAATCGAGTTTCTGCCAGAATACAGCCCAGGCAGCGATAGGCAGTACATAGTTGTGAAGGTGTGCGTATTAAACAAATTGAAAAAATAAATACAAATCAGCCCTATAGCAGCGGTTTCCAACCGGGGCCTCCATAGAGCAGTTGGTGAGAAGCCACAATGCTATGCGATGCTGATTTTACTCCGCGTTCTTCCTTTTTTTATTGCTTGAGAAGTTTTTTCGCAAGGGTGTTTTCACCATGTTAAACACAATGGGATTTGAAATCTACCAATCAAAATAACCTAAATACCACTGGAATGATAAACAGGGGGGACACAAGCCATAAAAGGTTGGGAACCACTATATAGGATTTAACATTGGATCAATTTGCCAACAATTTATGTCCAAATCAAATGAGATAACATGAAATTTTATTACCTTTGCCAAAACTCTTCACAATTATTCATTGGTCCTTCTACACACACAACACCAGGTTTTCCTGGCATACTGAATCCAGTTAGTTGAAGTTCTTTTGACCATTCTAATATGTTTTTCCTTTTTGTTTTACTGTATATGTGATGACTATAAATCCAATATCGCGAAAATTGTTGGCAAACATTATCTGATTGATTTGTTTCCACACCAGCTTCTTTAGATTGATTGCTTTCTCGTGTAATATAGTTTTCAGTATTTTCATTCAGCCATTCTATAATCTTGAAAAATCAAGTTCAATCAGGTGAGGGCTTGAGAGTATGATGCAATCAAATGCTGCTACCAGATTTAATAATATAAATAGTGCACAACATTATAGCACAATTATACAAAGTGCAAAAGCAATTGAACAAACTGACCTTAATGTTATAAATGTGATAGATCTCAGACAAGCAAGTTTGCAAAAACAATACCATTGATGAAATGTGGCTCCTGCTAGCTTTTTCACATATATAATATATATATATATATATATATATATTATAATTAACCTAGTTTATTTGGATTTTTTGCTCTCATCCCCCAAATAAGTATTTGTTGTTTCACATATTTAGATGCTTGTTCCTATTCATTTCATTTATTGTCAATATCCAAACCGGCTGCTAAATCTTTTTTAACCTCAATATTTTCATAATTTCCTCCAAAATATCTGTTTTCATGGCAGAATTGATTTCAATTTGTTCATATTAAACGGCATCTATTGGCATTTCTATCATCCAAGTGAATATATATATAGCTCTTAGCATATTACTGTATTAGGGTCTTCACAACTCTTTTATCTTAACTATACAAATTTAGTTGACTCACTTGAAATATACATAAATCACCCACACCAATTTCATCAATAAGTTTTTTCATTTCTTCGTTAATATCTTTGTATTGTAATTTGGACATTTTCTGGCATCTAGGTACAAAAAAAGATGAAAATAAAGTCACAAACGGAGTAGTAAATTATTCAATGATATTGAAGAATTTTTCAAGTTTAAAAAACAAATTCCAATTTAAAAATAAAAAGTCTGAATGTTGACAATTGCCGATAACAGTTGCAGATTTCACAGACATAGACTAGAGATATCTTAAAAAATTCCTACCTAACTTGAACGGATATATTCTCCTCTGAAGGGTAATTTACAGGAAGCATGAATTCCACCCTTAAAATACAGCTGATCGCGTCCTTCAATTCATATTTCAGAGTGAATTTTAGGGTTTTGTTTGGGTCATCACCATCATTTCCGAGGTAATTTTTCATTTGATCTATAATTACTTCATCATCAAACACAACTTCATCCTTCCCTGGAAACATACTCTGCAGCATTTCAACTTCGGAAAGTTGCAGTTCGACATTTTCCAATCGCGTGCTCATTATCAGAGTTCGTAATAGTAATACTGTAATATGATCACATGTATTAAATATCAAGCGTCATCGATAGTTCAGATCCACGGCTTAGTTTTTGTAACTGTATATAATTTGATTTATTGCTGCAGTGCAAATTGTGAAAGAAATTCAGATACATCTGTACATGGGATAACATAAAAAGTTGGCGCAACTGTCTCCGATTCTAGCTAGTTTTACTTAGAATCTTGGTATGGTTTCGATTGTTGCAAATATGACAAGTCACTTACGGTATAACAAATGAGTAAAGGGATTAAATTCATCTGTTACAGCGTCTTCAGCCCATGTAAGGTACCGGCCCACAACGGAAATAAAACAAACATGGAACGGCGAAAGTGTAAACATTTATTCCACTTGGGCAGCCTCTCGGGAATGTAACAGAAAAAAAGGGGGGGGGGGTGGAATAATCAAGTTGGGAGCATCGTGTCTAAATACATATTTTTAATCAAGTTAATAACGACAAATGAAATTTAACGTAAATCGAACGGATTATTGAAAACACGTTTCGTTTGCTGCAACACGATTGTATGCAAAGAATGCAGAGGTCAAAATGAAATAACATTCATTATCAATGAGCGAGAGTGCTAAGCGGGGGTTTAGTCCGGAAGCGTGATTATGAAGACCACATCCTCCTATTTGTTGTTACATCTTTTTGCGTTTACATTGATGGTGATCACTAGTTATGGAAAATTCTGTAAAAAAATAAATTCATGCAAGTAAGTCTCTATGCACTCATGATTTTCTTTTATTTGTATCGTCATTTTACTACAACGAAGACGGTAAGGATCAATGAGGCGCGCAACCTTTTCCAGTAAATACCATACCATATTTCGATAATCAAAAGAGCTGGTTACCACTTTCGTTCATGAACAAAGCATTTACAAATCGCAGGCTCTGATACCAACATATTTCGATTGCTATTGTAGTCAGGGGTATGTAAAACTTTTCAGCTGCCTGGGGCGGGTTTCTGATAATGATTCTCCCTACTTAAAATTTGGGGGATAAACAAATTATAGATGTTGTTATACATTAAAATAAATAAATTAAAGGTCAAGTGAGAGTCAAATATTTGTATTATTATTACTTAAATCATCAAACTAAGCAACAAACTCACCCCTATAAGATGCTGTCTGGGGTGGATGCCCCTATGGCCCCCCTCTACTCTAGACACCATTGTAGTATGGGATATTTTTGTTTCAGATGTGAAATGGATGATGGTTCTGGGATAATCAATTTACGATCGTTAGCTCATCCCGGAAATCTTCCAAAATGGACATTGAGTGGTGGCGATGGGTGGATGTACAAATATAATCCCTGTTTGGGATATTCACTGGGAATAAATTCTGATCTTGCCGTAAGTTAACTGATTTTTAGTATATCGGGCCTCGAGCACCCACCCGAAGGTAAAAAAGCAGTAGCATAGGAGTCGCAGGTAACCTTATAGTTTTTAGAACCAATGACAGTAGAAGATTAGATACAAGTCATAAATCTTTACAAGCCAAAGTAGTAGCTAAAATGAAGTAATAATCATAATTTTGTTCATTCCCACACCTTTTCACCAACACTTGTGGAATAAATATACGCTATGAATATATTGAAGTTTTTTACTATATATATCATTTCACAACAACAATATTTTCCATATCAGGTGGGACAAGCGAGCACATCAGGATCAGCGTATGACCTGGGTATTCAATCATCTGCCGGATATAATGTTACAGATGATGGCAAAGTTATGATAACATATTCAGCGAAAGATGGGAAAAGGTAGCAAAAATACTGAAATTGTTGAGTATATTCCCAAGAATAATATTTACCAAATGCAAAGAATGTAAGGCACAGATGATTTATACAACTTTGCCTTTATCTCACCTATACATTATATATATATATATATATAAATAGGCACTTTGATTTATTTGATTTAATGTTAAGATTGGGGGATGTTGATTTTTCAAAAAGGGAGATTGGATGAAAATTTAACAAAGTATTTATTATCATTTTTTTCAATGGTGTAATATTTTACATGTTAACTTGCCGAATAGATCACTTATGCATGAGTTTATTCTTACCATTTCAAAATAACCCAATTCAGATCATCTCGAATTATATTGGAATGTGATCGTGAAACAAGATTCGATAGACTAGAGTTTATTGGAGAAATAAAAATAACAGAATATGTGAGTTAGAATTTTTTTAAGTAGGCATATAGAACTAGGACAGACAAAAATTATCTTGGTGTTTTACTTTGTATTATGGGTTGTGACAATTGTTTGAAGACTTTTTTATGCCTCCTCTCATCCCAGTCTGACTCAGCTATTTAATGATGATTTTTTTTAATTTCGAAGTTCTCAACTTGCTGATTAATTTGATGTTTTCTTCATTTCAGGATATGATGCTTAGTAGTCCATGTGCTTGTCCAGGATATTGTGATAATTATGGACTTTATGAAAATGTCGCCAAGAATATGAGTGGATACTGGGAAAATACATATGGTGGGAAAAGAGTTATTCCAGGTACTCTTTTATTATGTCGGTATCAATTTCAATAGGGGTTGTATTTCACATGGATTTGAATATGAATTTCATATGTAATTTTTTTCACACTTCCTAAACCTATGTGTGGAACCTTAATGTCAGTATATTTATGAATTGCTTCCTTGTAATTTCTAATGAGATTTTTTCTTCCCTTTTTCTACCATGGTTACCTCTTGTTGTTTCAGATACTCCACAACAAGCTAAATATCCATGGTCAGATGTTGGTACATCCATGGTAGCTTTGCTATTGCATGACATTTTGCTGATTGTCCTAATCGCATCCTGTATCATTGTTTTCGGTCGTTTCAAACGTATTTGTCGGGGAAATAATCATATGTGCCAGCAGAATACACAGCATCATTGTAGATATGTAAAAGAACGAGATGACAGCATTGAATCTGGATCTTCAAAAACAAGTGAATATCATAAAGAAGCAAGGTTTGAAAAGGCATGTATTCGAAAAATTTTATAGAACTTTGACTGTTTTTGATGGCTAAAAGAATTGCAGACAATTCCTCGCTTTTTCAAATAATGTCTGTAATAGCCCATGCAACTATTTAACTACCTGACATGGACTATTAACTGGATGAGAGGCCATGGGCTACATCTGATTAAGCTTATATTATCAGCTTTTCTTCCCGGAATAGATGTGAAAATTTATCCTATCCTAACCCTAAAAAGTTGTGCAACAAAAATTAGACCATTATGCTAGTGACGGATGCAGTTATGCTTAGTGAACTCTGAATATCAATAGTTCGCGATTGGAAAGAAATGATTCAATTATGTCAAAAAACTGGTCAGATATTCCAAAGGATCGAAATAAACTCTCCATATTTTTGTGCATTAGCAGAAATAAATAATTGGCAGATCTGACGAAACAGGAGTAGAAAAATTCTAAGGTACATGCCCTAGAGACAACCATAGATTATAACAAATGTTTAAGATCTTAGCTAAATCAGGTATATTTGCTGTCACTGACTGACACATTTATGGTATTCAGCAAGCTATTTATTTGAAAGTTTCACATAAGACATTTTGTACACAGGTAGGTATACATAGAATTTCTATGCTGTTGCCAGCAAAATTTGTGCTTTTAAATAATTAATACGGTAAGTGTATCAAAGCTTTCCTGATCTTTCCATTAAAATGACATCATTTTGAATACAGGCTGCATCGAAAACAAGCTTTCATCAGGAAAATGAAGATGATTGTGAAAATGCGTCACAACAGAAGCTTATTGTAAAGGTGGAATAAAAGGCCAAATTCAGATCAGCAAAAGTTAACTTATATTTTCTATATACAAGATTAAGTCATTCTTGTTCTTAAAATATGTCATTTTCTTTCACTGTCAATAATTTGGTATCCACTGAATTTGCATTCTTCATACTCCTATCTAGTACTTAGAAATAATTTTATTTACCATGACATCAATCTCAATTATTGTTTATGTATATTTGTTTGTGCCTTTTTTATATTTATCAGCACTGTTTGCTACATTTAGATTAGTAGAACAGATATTAATGTGCAATCATATATTCCAGTGTGTAATTTGTTTTACAATTTTTAAAGGTTTGGCTATAGGAAAACGCAACAATCACCAATTAATGGCACAGGTATATTTCAATATAATTTAGGATTTTGAAAAAATTTTAGCTGCAACTTGTGTAGTGTTACCAGAAGAATTTTGGAATGACTGGATAGTATGGTAAAATAGTACTGTTCCATTTCCATTAATAGTTATTTTTATGTTCGGAATATCTTTATATTATGTGTCTGTAGCTGTTTTGCACAGTTGTGTATTTGTAATATTTGCACTAACTACTGGTACCATCTTATTTTTAAAGATAAGGTTCATGTGAAATATTTTTAGCACTTTTCAGTAATTAAAAAAGCAACATTACTTACTATGCATATCAGTATGAATAATATAAATAATCATGAGATTAAATAATTAATGCTAATAATTCTTCCATCTATTTAATTTTTTTGCTCAGGCATGCAATTGTATCATTTTTAATTTATATTAATATTATGTTTGTAATTTTTATTATATCAAAATTGGGACCAATACTACCTTATAATATTTAAATTTCTGGATGGGATGATATGAAATGGTTGGAGCTGCTGGTTGTCTTGAAATGGGTAGGAGAATTGTCATTTACCACCGTTTAATTAATTCATCTATTCCCAGGATGAGGTGTTAAGTGTTATCCCCTGAAATCAAGTTTTTCCCGCGTTTAATTTCCTGATTTCGTCATCTCTGTTTTATAATTTCAAATACTACGATTTGATATATTGTTACCAACTTGTTCTGTCCATTGTACAGCATTATACGGATATATACTGATCCGTTTCTGCCTTATTCCTTTTTTCAATACAAACCATGACGTGCTTACATATTAAATTCGGTCTCCAAACTTACACTTACAAGCGGATCACCGAGATCAAATTGTTATTGTCCGGTCAAAATATATATATATATATTTCGTCGTCTATCGGCTACTGGACAAAAAGTGAAATATATTGATAAATCTTAATTCAAAGAACTTGAGCTGAACCTGATTTATAACTAAAAATAATGTTTTGCCAGAATTCCCAAATTTCAATCAACCTAATATGGGTGTTCCGTCAATTTAAATTCGTGCAGGCTACTATATATCTTATTTTTTGTAACTGATAAAAATTAAATCTCACTTTCTCTCGCACCTCGTAGTCGTCATTATATTGTGTTTACATCTCCAAGTACTAAATATATTTCCAGTAATCCTAATACACGTACAGCAATCTTGACACTGACAGTAATCTTGTTACTTGACTGAATACCACCTGTTTTTTTTTTCACTTTATTCGTTTTTATTATTAGAAGAGTAAAAGAAGTATATTCTTCTATCCGTAGAAATATACACATGTTATTGAGGCAATTAACATTCTAAATCGACATTGAGGTAGGTTTGAAGCTTTATTCACAAAAAGTCATACAAAACGTTTGTCAATGTCACAGATGTGAGACATATATAAATACAATACCTAGATCGTTCGATATATATTTTGTCTATGAAATCCCTATAAATATTTTTAATTGCGTAAACGGATATTTATCAGTGTTTGTGCAATCGATAATTTTTGTTGTTGGGACTGAATTAAGTACTTTCAATACGCTCATTTTATAGACCTAAGTTTCACGTTAAACCAATGATTGCAGTCGGGACTTGCGTAAACCTCCAAATTAGGATAAAAATTTGAAGAATTTTTTATGTATTTTAGTATTAAATAGCCCAATTTATGAATATTCCTATCTTAACCTTCGTATAAATGATGGGCTGAACGAAAACACATTTCGCTATGCAGATGTTGAATGCGTAAAACCAGAAACTGATCGAATAGTGTATATTGCATACTCCGATGTATGTTTTATAACAAAAAAATTATTTCCCTGCTAAGAACTGCGACACATGTTAGATGTTAATTGGCATTTATTTGGCACGCGAACGTCGAGTAGTAAGTATTAAAGTCTAGGCAAAAGTTTTTGGCTACAATGATGAAATTCATGTGAATAGTCGCCTTCGTCATTTAAAACTTGATCAAAAAATTTGGCGTAATTTCATGTAGTGGATGAACTAATTGCAGAAGGTCTCTGACGAACGTTACGTCGTTTGCGAGCGTCATGTTCCTTTCCCACGTTCGTCATCAAATTCGCATGGGCTTCTATCGCTCTCAACATGGAATTGACGTTATCAGTTTCGCTCATGCGTGACAACGACACGGACCTATCGCTGCTTTGAGCGGGATTGTTCTTCAGCGGCGACGCGTTGGCTTTACCCGCCTGAAAGTAGTTCCCGTTCGAAGACCGCTGCGTTTTTGGGGAGCACAAACTTGAACCTTCTTCAGATATTCTAGAAAGAGATCGTCTTTTCGACTTTTTAGGTTTCTTCGTAGATTTGGGAGATCTCACTTCCACATCGAGATTAACTGTACCGTCTTCCTCGGCAATATCAGGCAATGTGCCCACGTTGGGATCCGAGGGTTTTCTTACCCTATTAACAGGTAAGAAATTTTTTCTATATATCCTATATATTACACGTGTCTCATTTATTCACATATTCATTTTTTCTGAATTATCATGAGTGCAATCTGACCTCGTAAAGTTATCAAGAATTCCATTCATAGACAGGCTGACAGGTTTTAAATATTTGTTTCTGTACGATATTGAACATGTACCAGTTTAAAAGTAAACTGCTTTTTAGTGTGCTTGCTGTGTTGATTTAAATGGGGTTTGAGAAAAAGATCTATTACAAACTAACATGTTCTATGGATATAAACATAAAGTCAGGCATACATGGTTATCATGCCCTACCTAAGTTACCTTAAAGATCCTCTTCTGATTTCCATTTCGAATTCTTCATCAGCATTTCGTACTTCTGTGATCAGTGATTTGCAGTCCTTGTCTGACATACCGGCTGGAGTTTTACCAATGGATATTTTTCTTATTGATGTCTTTCCTGGATAGGGAGAATCCAAAATATTTTCGTTACGTGAAATTCGCTGGGGTAAATCAGCACGAGAGTCTTTATTGAATCCTACCCCTTCGCCTTCTACGGCACAACCTCCGACAGACATTTCGGAAAAACGGCTAGAGGTTTCTGAGTCTTTTCGTTTGCTTGAAAGACTGCGCGGACCGGCGTTAAATTGGTCTACAAGGCTTCTTCTTTTGCCACTAGTTGGCTCGGAATAAAATTCAAACAGACTATTTGAGCTCAGTCGTTTCAGTTTCTTGTTTAAATCTTCAGAATATATTGAAGATTTTGAATGGACACTGGGCGACGACGATTTTCCAGATTTATCTGAAACGGATCCGCTCAGTTTCCTTGTTACGCTTATCTTGCGATTTCCCGAAACCATAGTGACGACTTGAGGCGAATCGGAGTAATTTGATGATCTTATGGATTCTGCTCTGTGATTGCTTGAGTGAACACGTTTTGGAGTGGATGTGTTTTGTTCCTTAGTCTGTGACTCCGACATGTTTTGTGCTTCCTCGCTTTCAGGCGTACTTGAATGCTGAAACATCGAATTTGATAATTGTAATGGAAAGTCAGCAACAGATAAAATTAGGATTTATAGTTAAGAACTTAAACGCTCTCGTATGCAGTGTTTCGTCGATCACACTTACGCTATATTCCAAATCTGGTGTTGGACATCCATGACTACTTCCATCACACTCTAAAACACCCGATTCACTGTCTTCCTGGTTTTTTTGAAAGTTCGGACTACCTGCAATTTTTAAAAAGAATCTCAGTGTTTTACGTTAGAGTAAATTATGCTAGTGCTTTATGTTTGAAACATCAGATTTATTTTATTCCATATTATTATATAATATAAAGCTTAAAACAACTGTTTATAATCGAGAAACCGCGGTTTCACTTTCCCACCAAAGCTGAAAATGTTGATGAGTAAATAAATATAAATATATATATATATTTTACAATACAGCTAACAAGATGATTCCTTACCTAGCTTGTCGTATCTTCCTTCCGTCTGGGTTTTGTGGAAACTTTTACAAATATCTGTAACTCGGTTTTGTTTCACACCAGGAGGTCTGGAAAAATATGATTTCAAATATCTAAATACGAGATTTATCGCAAACTATAACAACACCAAGTCGAAGGTTCGATGTTTTCTATATTCATACTACATTAGATTACACACGCACATGTTTCCAATTCATATCCAATAAATTGCCTCGAATGTTGTTGCCGACTGAGGCATAGGGCCTGCAATATCAATACGCTGATAGAATCGAGCGCCCCTAACGATTATCAATAAATACAGAAACACCAATTTGAACTTAATTGAAAACTATAGACCATACGGAGATAGTCTAACCTCAAAGCTATATCAACGTACCTACACTTTTTCCACAAGATAAAAACGGCAAGAGCGGCAAGTAACAGTGCTCCAAGAACAGCACCAGCTACGATCGGACCAAGGAAGTGGCTAACTTCTTCTTTGTCGTCCAATTCTCCGAAAAGGCTTTCCATCGATACTGCAGAAAAGGTTTTCTTTGATAGTTGCTTGTATGGAATTTGTTGTGAACGTTCTTTTTTTTGGGAGAAGGTTGTTTTGAATTTGTTGGGAAACTATTTTAAATTGATTCATTGGCAAAGAAATACTGTAAATTGGTGAGGAAATTAATCCGAAGTTCGTGCTATTTTCACATCGTGTCGAATGTGGAAAATATGATATTTGATACCTTCACATTCTTTTCCGGTGTAGTTTGCGGCGCATTGGCAAGTGTACGATTCTCTATCGGCATTATCTATACAGATACCGTCGTTTTTACACGGTGTGAAAAAACATGGTGGTTGTTTCAGTTCACAGTGTGATCCGACGTAACCGTGTATGCAAATACATCTGAAAAAGTCACATTCAGATGCAGACATAGAAAACGTATATGAAGGAACTGTATTAGAAGCATATAACAACCACTACAAGTGTGAAACAAAATTCCTCTACGTTTACTGCGTAGTACTTGAAACAAGTTTTAGTGCCAATTTTTTTTCATGCATGGTAAAAGTTTATTACAAAAATGATGTAGTTCACAAAATATTACATTCATGTCATTAATGAAATAAAGTTACATTTTGACATAACACCATCTTATTTTTATAAAATATGTATGGTAATTTTATTACTTAAAATAATTATGGTATACATACTGAAATTTCGTGTTGCTAGAAGTTTTTTGAATTGTGTACGTCTTTCCTGTAACTGACTGGTTACCCACGAATGTTTATTACACGTCACCATCATACGTGAGAAATTGGGCATTTAATGTCTGAGCATTAACTTAAAAATAATTGTGAATAATTTACTTTTAACTTACTTGTATATACTTGCTTCTTGTTCACATGAGCCATTATTTTTGCATGGGTTCTGTGCACAAAGTGTACCCTTGTTGCAACGTTCACCTTCCCAACCTCTCGAGCAGCCATTTGTACATATTCCCCTTTCTCCTTCGCATCTTATTTCATCATTTGTTTTGAGACAGTTGCCACATTTTAAAGTGCAGTT